GGAGGTCCCACTTATTAATTGTCAATCTCACTGTCTGTGCTACTGGTGTTATGTTCAGGAAGCTGTCTCCTGTACCAATTCGTTTAAGGGTACCACCCACTTTCTCTTCTAAAGGTTCAGTGTGGCTGCATTTATGTTGAGGTCTTTGATCCATTTGGACTTAAGTTTTAAGCATGGTGATAGATATGAATTTATCTGCAATCTTTTACATGCCAGCATCCAGTTATGCCAGCACCATTTGTTGAAGATGCTTTTTTCCCCATTGTATAGTTTTAGCTTCTTTGTCAAAGATCAGGTGTTCATAGGTGTGTGGGTTAATATCAGGGTCCAAGAACTTTGACTCTTAAAGAAAGAAATTAAAGAAGATACCAGAAAATGGAAAGGTCTCCCATGCTCTTGGATAGGTAGGATCAGCATAGTAAAAATGGCAATCTTGCCAAAAGCAATCTACAGACTCAATGCAATCCCTATCAAGATCCCAGCACAATTCTTCACAGACCTTGAAAGGACAGTTCTCAACTTTATATGGAAAAACAAAAGACCCAGGATAGTCAAAACAACCCTGTACAATAAAGGAACTCCAGGAGGCATCACCATCCCTGACTTTAAGCTCTACTATAGAGCTATATTTATGAAAATAGCTTGGTATTGGCACAAAAATAGACAGGTAGACTAATGGAATCGAATTGAAAACCCTGATATTGTTTAAGCTTTTTTTAAAAGTTTGTTTATTTGTTATGTATACAGTGTTCTGACTGCATACCAGAAGGGGACACTAGATCTCATTATTGATCGTTGTGAGTCATCATGTGGTTGCTGGGAATTGGAATCGGGACCTCTGGAAGAGCAGCCTGTGGTCTTAACTGCTGAGCCATGCCTTCAGCCCAAGACCCACCATTTGAAAGTGAGTAGACAGGAGGTGCTTTTAGTGGCTGCAACTGTCAGGACCCCTGTCAGGACCCCAAGTGCAGGCCAGTACAGGTGCCTAAATACTAACAATAGCAAAGATACAAAATCAAGCTAAATACCTGTCAATGGACATATGAGTAAAAATGTGATAAATCTGTGCCAAGCATTACTATTCAAAGATTAAAAAGGATCTTGTTGGGACAGGCATGGTGGAACACACCTTTAATCCCAACACTCAGAAGACTGAGGCATGTGGATCTTTATGAGTTTCAGGGCAGCCAGGGCTACACAGAGAAATCCTGTCTTGAAAAACAAGACAAATCAAAAAAGAAGGATTTTGTCAGTTGTAATGATATGGATGAGCCTAAAAACCAGTGTTGTAAGTAAAATAAGCCAGACATAAAAAGTAAAATACTATATCTTTTCATCTGTAAAGCTGAATTCATAGAAATTGAGAGTAAATGTTTACTAGATACTGAGGAACAAATATTTAGGACAGGGTTGATCAAGATAGAAGTTGACCAAGTGGTACAATGTTGCATAGATAGAAGAAATAATCCCTGGTATACATGTTGCACAGTAGAGGTATTGTAAGTTATTTTAAAATGCTGTGAAGAAAAGTCACGCCTTGCAACAAGGCTCACATAGGAGGTTTATTTAAAGATGAGAGAGAAGGGTCAGAGAAGGAGGCAGAGAGGAGACAGAGACAGGGGCCTGGGGACAAAAGTGGTAGGAGGGAGGGAGGGAGAGAGGGAGGGAAAGAGGGAGGGAGGGAGAGAGGGAGAGAGAGAGAGAGAGAGAGAGAGGGAGGGAGGGAGGGAGGGAGGGAGGGAGGGAGGGAGAGAGAGAGAAGGTGGCAGGGCTTGCCTTTTAAGAGGGAACAAAGCAAACATGCACAGGTGGTGCTCTTAGTGGCTGCAGCTGAGGGAGTATCCTGTCAGGACCCAAAGGGCAGTCCAGTACAGATGCCTGAATACTAACAAGAGGGACTGAAGGTAACAATAATGCATTGTGTATTTCAAATAGCTGGAAGAGAAGACTGTAGCTCATTTCTTTGACAAATGTTTGAGAAGGTAACTATACTAACTATGCTGAGCATGGTAGTGCAGGCCTTTAGTCTCAGCACTTGTGAGGTAGAGGAGGGCAGATCTCTGTGAGTTTAAGGCCAACCAAAGGTATACGATAAGACTCGGTCTCAAAAATAGCATATCATTTGAGGATTTTTCCAGATCCCAATACTTGCTAGTAATCTGCACTAATTATAAGGTGGTAAGAGATTCATGTATCAGTGGAACACAAAATCCAGTAAAACAGATCTGACTTACAACCAAAAACATGAGACTTGCAAAATTTTAAAAAATCCACAATGTGAAAATCTATAAGTTACTTAATCTCTCCTCTATTTGTATTTTCAAAATTATTTATTTATTTTTGTTTTTATGAGAATTTATTGTTTTGCCTGCATGCATGTCTCTGTGAGGACATCAGATCCCCTGGAACTGGAGTTACACACATTTGTGAGCCACCATGTGGGTGCTGGGAATTGAACCCTGGTCCTCTGAAAGGACAGTCAGTGCTTTTTTGTTTTGTTTTGTTTTGTTTTGTTTTGTTTTGTTTTTGAGGCAGGGTTTCTCTGTGTAAACACCCCCTGGCTATCCTGGAACGCTTTTTGTATAGACCAGGCTGGCCTCGGAACTCACAGAGTTCCACCTGCCTCTGCCTCCCAAGTGCTGGGACTAAAGGCGCATGACACCATGCCTAGCTGAGTCAGTGCTCTTAACTACTGAGCCATCTCTCTAGCCTGTGGTACCTTAAAACTTATGTGTTTGTGTGCTTGTGTGTGTGTGTGTGTGTGTGTGTGTGTGTCTGTCTGTCTGTCTGTCTGTCTACGTGGGGCATTCCATGTGTGTGCTCATGTCTTTGGAGGCCAGAAAAGGGCGGTGAGTCCTCTGGAGCGGTGAGCCACATGACGTGGGTGCTGGAAAACAAACACAGGTACTCTGAGAAAGCCATTGCTCCAGTCTGCCACAGCATGTTTTACTCCTTTAATAATAGTACTGCAAGAAATATCATAGTTGGGTGTGGCAGTATATTATCTATGTCATTCTGTAAGGATATGTGTAACTAAATACCAGAGAATAGAATTACCTCAGGAAAGAACTGTAGGCTGTTATATTTATTGTTTAATAGATTTTGCCAAATTGCCCTCTATAACAAGATTGAATTAAAATATCTCCCTCCAATAGAGTATAGGACCCTCCATATTCAGACAAAATAGTCAATAATATTATTGAATTTCTAAACTTTGACATCATATTGGAGAAAACAGTAAGTCACGGCTGTTTTGATTTGCATGTGTTTGCAACTAAATATCTTTATATATGTTGATTGGACATTTGGACCTTCTGTATTTCTCCTCTGTGAACAAATCTGTTTAAGTCTTTGGCACTTTTTTCTATTTGAGTTATTTTATTAATAATTTGTAAGGATATTTAAATTACAACCAGTCTTCTGGCATCCGATGCTTATGCTCCTTTTTAAACATGAACAAACACTTCAATTTTTATGTTAATCGATTGATGAATTCTTTTCTTTGGGAGAGAAAGTAAATTTTGAGTTCTGAAAATACTGTTAGTAATGTTTTAAGGCACTATGAGCTCTCTGGCTCACCTCCTGAAAGGGCCTCCTCCAAACAGGGGCCCCTCACCAGGGAGGGCCTCAAGCTGGGGTGTCCTATTTCAACATTCTAAGGAGGCTGCTTGGACATTTATATTTGGAGTGTGATTCTCCAGTGGAAACAGGTGGGCGCCTGGGGACTCTCCTGCATATTTTGTTCCTGGGTTTTGTGAGGGTGGTGCACTAAAGTTATTTAGGAGGGCAGGGAGTAAAAAGAACTCTCTTGGGGGACCGCTTGGAATCCTGGACTTTGTTCTCGCATTTGTGAGGGGAAAAGAACACTCATGGCAATGGTGTTCTAACAATACAGTCATCCACAGACCTTCAAGCCTATTGCCTCTGGAAATTGTTCAACAATCGCCACCAACACGGTGGCAGAACAGAAATGGCCGAACCTGAGGAGACCTCGCCAGTGCCATGATAGGATGAAAATTCCACCTGTTAAGCCTTCTTTCTATCTGTGTGGTAGCAGTTGCTCCTTTTGAGGTGTGGTGATGTAAAAATCCAAAAAAAGGCCATCATACGATACAAAACAGGTTACGCTGGGTTCATCTGAATTTGGTCTTTGAGTATCCAGGGTCCTCTGTGAAGAAGTACTCAGGCACCTGATAGGCAGAGGTAAGTGCCGCAAAAACCTCAAAAGCTTTCAGTTATTTCTGTAAAACTATCAGGTTTTGAAACCCGAACATCTTTCCAAAGATTAATTTGCTGATTGCATTGAAAAACGGGCTGGCATTGTTTAGGAAAAATTTGTATTTAAAATGTCAGTAATTACATCTGTTTTCAAAGCTCAGAAGTAGTTTATAGCAACTAGAAAACATTTTTTAAGTGTCATAAAATTGTGTAAACAGACGAATCTTTAAAATTTTTACAACCTGAATATTTTCATGGCGAATGTAAATGTCTTTCCTGCATTTTCCCAACACTGGGCGGGCGGCGAGTGGGGGGGGGGGGATGATGCTAACAGAAAAGGGAATACAGACAAAGAGAGTGAAGGCTCTGCTTGCACGGTTTTCCTCTGTCTCTAGGCGATTTGGTGATGGAGTTGTTACTAAGGGGAGGCAGGTTGTCTAGAGAGTCGGTGGGGAGCGTTGCTATTGTAGCCTGAGAGGAAAAGAAAGGATTCTTCAAAGATGCAGAAAAGGCTACAGCCAAGGCCTGGGAGTGGGTGGGGGTACAGACCCTTCCTAGTAACCAGGGACCGGTAAACTCCAACCGCTACATGGTGATGACACTTGTGGGCGCTCAGATTGGAGAGCGCGGAGATGAGTGACAAGGCGGGGCGCGCTGGGGCTCCATGCATGGGCGCAAGGAGGGGGGTGCCTGTGCAAGCTGAAGGGGGTCCTGTTGACTGCCTTCCGACCAGTGGGGGGTTGTGAGGAGGAGGGCGAGCGATGACGCGCGGCCCTCACGTGACCTGGAGCTGCAGAGCGACGCAGCCTTGGGTGCAGTCGTCACTCGAGTCTGGCCACCAGCTTCCCGCTGCCCTGCGCGCGGCGGGCTGGCATCGGGCCCGGGGTGAGCTGATCAGGTAAGGGCCCCGGGGCCACCGCGCCATGGCCCCGCTAGCCGCAGCCTCTGGATTCGGCGGCGCTACGGAGATGGATTGAGGAGGGGGGTATCCATGCTGCATCAAGTTCAAGGAGCCTTCCCTTCCTATTCTCCCGCGTCTCCCAGCCCCTGGCTGAATCTGCGCAAGGGAACCTTGTGCTTTGACAGGGCTGCTGGTGGAGAGAGTCTCTAGAGGGAAATACAGAGGGAGATGTCCATCCTCTTTAATTAACTGCATCGATGGGCGCCCGCACATGTCCGCGGGCTTCCTGCTCCTTTCAGAGGAGGGACGCGCGCCACCGTGGCATTTGCTGAGAAAATGGTGGGCCTTAATGCCTGGACGGCGGGCTCGGTAGGGGTGGTGTCTCAGAATGAGGGGAGGGACCTTTGACAACCGGATTCCAAAAAGGAGAATGTTGGGATGTGTGGCCTTGGTGCTGGCCTAAGCACTCAGTGCCTTTACTCTCCTTTTGGACAATAGTTCGGTGTGGCACTGTTTGTCGTGAGGCGAGGAAAAAACGGAGACTGAGACAAGAGAACTGCACAGGATCTATGGAGGTTAGTGTGAGCATCAACACTGAATCATTGAAGTTCTGTATGGATTCTATGCAGCCACGTAGGCACTGTTACGTGTGTGTGTGTGTATTTGAATTTATATTTGTATTATTGAATTTATATTTGTATTTATATATATGTATATAAATATATATGATTAGGATGTGGGGTGGGGCTAGCCTGGGGAACTTTACCTAAGCTTTGTTTCCTTATCAGGCTTCGGACGTTTTACTTAAATTCTATGGTGAATATCAATAAAGACAGAACTTCATTACAGATTATTTTGATATGTGTCAGATGATATTGAAAAATACAAATTTTGTATAAAAGAATGGTACTATTGTTTGATATAGCCTTTGGGGGATGGGATAATGATTTTGCAGAAGCAAAAGCCCTCCTCCACACCTTGTATCTTGTGCTGAGACTCCCAGAGATGTCTTTCAGGGAAGCAGATGGCAGGCTATGATTGAAGAATCATGGGAGCTAGGGCCTCCATCTCTTCCGCCATCAACCAATTTCCAGACAGTCATGTCTACCTGGCCATCTTGATAAAGGAAATGGTGGACTTTGGGGGGGGGAGGGAAAGACCTAGAATCCTACAGGTGGTTTAAAGATAAAATTTCTCCTTTTTCTCTCGTTTACTTTTCCTCTCTCCATCACTGTGCTATTCATTTAGTGTAGGTGAAACCCTAGGTTCTGCCTGAGGCTCTAAATCCCTGAAAGGCAGGGCCGGGGGACACAGATGTTTTGTGCTAGGCTATCAGAAGCACTCAGCACTTACCCTCTCCCTTTTCTTTGTCTGTTCCCAGGGCTTTTCATGGTTGAAGTAGGGCTTTTTACTCCTGGAAGCAAAGGAAGGAGGGGGACACTGTTTGGGAACTATGGAGATTGGTACGAAGGTGGGTAGTGGCTGGGGATGACAAAAGAGGGTGGGCTGAGCTTGAAAGGGCTTCAGTGGATGGCACTTCTGCCTTGTCTACACATGGCTGCTTTCCACAATGCTGCAATACAACCTGTTAATTGCAGTGCAGGAAACGGTGGAGATATTTGCGGGAGGGTGGACTGGGCTGCAACAAAGAAGGCTAGAGATGGGGGGTCACAAGATAAGATACATTGTTAAAATGGACCAGAACCCAGACAGACATCACAACCAAGAATTAGGGTGCTTGTCTGTTCTGCTAAGGACGCGGTCTCCATTATCTCCTGTTTGTCTACTTGCCTATAGATCCTCCTGCATGTCTGCTTCAGAGTCTGAGATCACTGGAAGCAAGGAAGCAAAGAGGAAATTATCTCTGATCAGTATAACTGGTAAGAGGGTGGGAGCTGTCTAGGTATGCCTCGAATGTGGGTTAGTGGAGACCAGCGTGCATCCCATTAAGGGACAGTCTGGTGGAGCTTTTTATTCTTTTTCACAGCCGTTTTTCTCGTCATCCCTGATATTTACTCTGAACCTTTACCTTAATTCTGGTATATGGAAAAAGAGTCTGATAGCACCTAAGGACATTGGGTAAACTGAGTGAGTAAATTGCTAATAATACAACAGCTCTCTCTCCCTTTGTCCTTCTCTAGGTCTAAAGGTCTTGTGACTCTCTATACTTTAGGGTGTTTCACCAAGCAAAAGAAGGATAGAAGAGGGACCTTCCTTCATGCATTCCAGGTTCGTATGAGTGGGGACTTGTAATGATGGCAACCAGAGTAGATCCCTTAAAAATCTAGTTCTGGGAGTTTCTGTTCCTCATCCGTTCTTCATTTGCCCTCCTGCCATCCTTGACACAATTCATGTTGCATAGGAAAATGGCTGGGCATTGGGGAGGGTAGGAGAAACGAAATAAGTGATGAAAATGTTGTTGATCTTCACAAGTACATTGCTTCTATGCTTTCCTGTTCTCCAGACGGTTAAATTCATTTCCTTCTTCCGCTTTTAGGTCTACTTCCAGTGGCAGCTCTCCTGACCTTTAAGTGGTTAAACACCATTGTCCAGTCACACCACCCTCTTTCCCAGCCTGAGTGAGCCCTCCTATACAGTGTTCCTGCCTTCAGCAGGGGTGATTACATGGGTCGTGTTCAGGACGTGGGCTGGGCCACCGCAGGACTGGTAATCTGGGCTGGTACCTGTTACTGCATTTACAGATTAACCAAGGGAAGATCTCAGAGTGTGAGCAGATTTTCCAGAAATGGGTCCAGAATTGAGATGGATACTGTGGTTGGGGAAGAGAACCAGACCATGGCCACAGGCGAAGCCATGGCTGGCGCAGAGACTGAGACCAGAGCCGTGACTGAACCAAAAACTGGAGAAGGAGGTGAGCCTGTGGCTGAAGTAGACACCGAGGTCTCTTTTCTAGTTAGATCCCATATCAACAACCAGGCCGAGACAATGCTTGAGGAAAAGCTAGAGACTCATTCTGAGAACAGTTTACTGGTGGAAACAATGGTCATGACAGATGCAGAGACTTTCACTGAAGCCACAGCACAAGCCAAGGAAGTAACGATGAAAGAGGCAGTTACACAAACTGACGTTGAGGCTGAGGAAGTAGGCAAGAAAGAGGCAGTGACTCAGACCAAGTCTAAAGCTTGGGCAATGGCTGACAGGGCAGAGGTCAAGAAAGAAGCAATGACCCAGACCAAAGCAGAAGCTCCTACACTGGCTGAAAAAGAGACAGAGATTAACAGAGTAACAGTGACGCAGAGTGAGGTCTTGGCAGTGACCAAGGAAGTAGTCAAGATTGGAACCATGAATGAGACTGGAATTGTGGCGGAAGCCATGATGCCAGCACTGGAACAGACTGTGTGTGTGACTAGGACTCAGTCTGAGACTAGGCTTGATGTCACAATTGATACTAGTGAAAATCCCAATGATATGCCCCTCATAGTGGCTGGAGTGGACGTGAAATCCTATGCACAGTCTCAGGCTGTGACCATAATCCAAAATGATGACGTGATCGACGATGAGGCTGATGACCAGGGGAATCTCAAAAACACATCTAAGGCAGGGTCTGCAGTAGATAGAGACACCTCTGCTCACCCTCATGCTGTTGCCAACATTCTTACTGAAGCCAAGCCAGGGGCAAAGGATGATGCTTGTGATAACATAAGTGACATTTGTGAAGCAGAGGCAGATATGAGAACTTGTATAATACAACCTGAGACTGTGGCCACGACACAGGCTGAGGCAAGGTCTGGTGCCACGACTGATGATGGGGAAGATGCCAGTGATGTATTTAAGACAGTGACTGGTGCTGACATAACTGATACAGATCCTCAAGCTGTTACCAGTGATCAGACCGAAGCCATGCCTGATGACAATGTTAAGGGTAAAGGTAATGCCAGTGGCACGGCTAAAGCAGGGGCCAAAGCAAACACAAAAACCAATTTGCAGACTGATGCCTTGCCTGACCCTGAGGATAAAAACAGAAGTGACACCAATGGCGAGTCTAAGGCGGAGGCTAGTGTAGACGTGGCTTTCTGTACCCAGCCCGAGCCCGTGGCCAATGTTCAGGGTGACGACCTGCCTGATGGCAAAATCAAGGCTAAGGACAATGCCAACACCATATCTAAGGAAGGAACTCAGACTGTGGCCCAGAGCCAGGGTGAAGCCTTACCTAATACTAAAGGTAAGGCGAGAGGCAAAGCCAAAGCCAAGTGTAAGGCAGGAGCTGCGACAGATGTGAAAACATGTGCACAGCCTCAAGGCGGAATCAAAAGCCAAGCTGAGGCCTTGTCTGATTCCAAGGTTGATAGCAAGAGTGACTCTAATGCCGTTTCTAAAGCAGGAGCAAAGGCAGACCAGAAAGCCTGTGCTCAGCCGCAGTCTGTGGTGAACTGCCAGAACGAGGCCTTGCCTGCTACTAAGACTAAGGTCAAGGGCAATTCAAATCCTATGCCTAAGGCAGAGACTGGGACAGCTACAGCAGGCTCTGCGCAGACCACTGTTGTCACCAGTTCCCAAGGGGAGACCACACCTGGTGCCAAGAATAAGGTCAAGGGTAATCGGAATTCTGTGCCTAAAGCAGGAGCTGGGCCAGATACTACGGGTTCTACCCAGACCCAGACTGTAGCCAACTCCCACAGTGAAGCCTTACCTGGTGCCAAGAATAAGGTTAAGAGCAATCCCAATATTGTGCCTAAGGCAGAGGCTGGGGTGGGTGCCAGTCCCCAGCCTGTGGCCGTTTCCCAGGGTACTGCCTTGACTGGTACCAAGACTAAGGTCAAGGGCAATTCTAATGCTGTGTCTAAACCAGATGCTGGGGCAGGTACAACAGGCTCTGCCAAGACGATGGCCAATTCCCAGGGCGAGACCTTCCCTGGTTCCAAGAGTAAGGTTAAGGGTAATTCCAGTTCTGTGCCTAAGGCAGAGTCTGGGGCAAGTACAATACTGGCTTTGGCTTCTTCCCAGGCTGAGGCCTTGCTTGGTGCCAGAAATAAGGTCAGGGGCAATTCTAACACTGTGCCTAAAGCAGAGTCTGGGTCAGGGGCAAGGGGCTCTGCTCAGTCCCAGGCTGTGGTCAGTTCCCAGAATGACACTTTGCTTGGGGCCAGGAATAAGATTAGGGCCAATGCTAGTACTAAGTCAGGAGCCAAAACAGGTACAAGGGGCTCTGCTCAGTCCCAGGCTGTGGTCAGTTCCCAGAACGAAGCCTTACTTGGGGCAAGGGATAAGGGTCTGTCCAGCTCACAGGTGGGAGCCACTGCAGACAATAAGACCTATGCGAGGCCAGTGGCAGGTGCCGTGCCCGCTTCGGAAGTTGTGAGTGCAGCAGGTGCTCAGCCTAACATGCACGATTATTACTGGAATGGAATTGGTGTTGAGGACTGGATTGCTGCGGAGCGGTGGATCAAATTTAGGTTTCAGACCATAGATGGAGACTGGGAGAACAGTGTATCCTGGGCCGAGGATGAGAGTGGAGCCAGTGTGGGGCCCTGGAGTGGGGCCAGTGATAAGCCTGGCATGGTGAGTTCCTGGGCTGTGGCTTGTGATGAAAGTAGCATTAAGTCCTGGACTGGGGCTAGGCCTGAGAATGAGGTTGCTCTTGGGTCCTGGGTAAGTGCTGGTGACCAGGCCAGTGGAGGACTCTGGGCAGGAGCTCAGGCTAGTGACGGGACTTGGACTGGGGCTGAGAACCAGATCAGTGCAGGTTCTTGGGTTGTCTCTGGAAACCAGGCCATTGCAGGGCCTTGGGCTGTGAGTCAGGTCACTGATGGGACATGGCCAGCAGTCCAGGCCAGTGGAGTGTCCTGGGTTGTGGACCAGGCTACTGGGACCTGGACTGTGGCTGATAACCAGGCTGGTGCAATGTCCTGGGCTGGAGCTGGTAACATAGTTAGTATTGGATACTGGACTGGGGCTGTAGACCAGACCAACGCAGTGGCCTGGACAGGCACTGCTGATCAGACTGTTGGTGAGGTCAAGCCAAGGTTTGAAGATCAGGCCAGTGAAAAGGGGACCTGGGCTGGAGCTGCTGTCCAGACCAGTGGAGAGTCCAGGTTGGGACCTGAGGATCAGTCCGGTGGAAGGGCTTGGGCTGAGACTGCAGACCAAGCCAGTGCAGCATCCAGGCTTGGGACTGTAGATCCATCTGCTGGTGCATCCTGGCCTGGCACTGGGGCCCAGGTTGTTGGAGTATCTACATCGGGCTCTGCAGATCAGGCCAGTAGTGGGTCTTGGGCCGCCACTAGGAATCTGGCTGGTGAAAGATCCTGGACTGGGACTGGTCAGCAGTCTGATGGTGGATCCAAAGCTGGTTTTGAGAATCAGACAGGTAATGAGGGGACTTGGACCGGCACTGTTAGCCAGGCTAGTGGAGGGCCCAAGTCAGTGCCTGAGGATCAGTCTGCTGGAAGATCCTGGACAGATTCTGGAGACCAACTCAGTGGAGGGTACTTGGTTGGGCCTTTGAACCAGGCCAATGGAGAGTCTCAGCCTGGTTCTGGAAACCTGGCTGCTAGTGGAGTAAATCAGTCCAGTGGAGGAGGATGCTGGCCTGGTTCTGGGGACCAGTCTGGTGGAGAGTCTAGGATGGGGCCTAGGGAGCAGTCTAATGCAGAGTCTTGGCCTGGCCCTGGAGATCAGACCGGTGGATGGTACTGTACATACACGCCCAGCCAGGACATTGGAGGAGCCTCTTGGGGTGTGGCCAGTGTTCAGGATGTTGGAGGGTCGAAGCCAGTACAGGTGAACCAGTCTAGTAGTGGTCCCTGGCTTGGAACTGGAACTCAGGTCGGTGGTGTGTCCTGGACTGGTGATCAGGTTGGTGGCTGTCCCAAACCTGGATTTGAGGATCAGGCCATTGGAGGAGGGTTCTGGGCTGGTGCTGGGGACCAGAGCACTGGAGGATCCAGGCCAGCTGTGTCTGAGGGTCAGTCTAGTGGAGGAGTGTCTTGGGGTGGAGCTGGTGCTCATGTCATTGGAGGCTCTAGAACTGATCAGGCCAGTGGTGGGTCCTGGACTGCCATTGGGAGTCAGGTCAGTGGAGGGTCTTGGGTTGGGTCTGTGGATCAGACTAGTGGCTGTTCTAAATCTGGATTTGAAGAGCAGGCACGTGGAGGAAGCTCTTGGCCTGGTGCTGTGGACCAGACTGGTGGAGAATCCTGGCCTGGGTCTAGGGCTAGTAACGAAGCCAGTGGAGGGTCTAAGCTGGATACCCAAGAGCAGGCCAGTGGGAGATTCCTTGTAAGTGCTGAGGTGGAGGCCAATGAAGGATTTTGGTTTGGGCCTGGGAGTGAGGCCTTTATAGGGTCTTGGTGCTGGACAGAAGAGGCTACTGTTTTGCCTATAGCTGATATGAAGGATGAGGCCAGTGTTGAATCCACATCAGGCACTAGGGAAGAAACCAGCACTAGTTCTGGATTGGGAGATGAAAAGAAGACCAGTACTGAATCCTGGACCGGAGCGGAGGAGACAGCTTTTGCAGGCACCTGTGTTGGAGGTGAGCCTGAGAGCGTGGCTGGAGCTGAGGCTGGAGCTGAGGCTGGAGCTGAGGCTAAAGCTGAGGCTGAAGTTGAGGCTGAAGTTGAGGCTGAAGTTGAGGCTGAAGTTGAGGCTAAAGTTGAGGCTGAAGTTGAGGCTAAAGTTGAGGCTGAAGTTGAGGCTGAAGTTGAGGCTAAAGCTGAGGCTGAAGTTGAGGCTGAAGTTGAGGCTAAAGTTGAGGCTGAAGTTGAGGCTGAAGTTGAGGCTGAAGTTGAGGCTAAAGTTGAGGCTGAAGTTGAGGCTGAAGTTGAGGCTAAAGTTGAGGCTAAAGTTGAGGCTGAAGTTGAGGCTGAAGTTGAGGCTAAAGTTGAGACAGAGGCTAAGGTTACAGTTGAAACTGACGCTGGAGCTGGGCCTGAGGCTGGAGTCGAGGTAGAGGTTGAGGCTGCGGTGGGTGTGGAGACTAGGGAGGAGGCTGGGGCAGCAGCTGCAACTGCAGCTGATTCTGAGACTAGGGCTGAGGCTGAGGCTGAGGCTGGTCCTAGAGTTGAGGCAGGGGCTGGGGCTGGGGCTGGGGCTGGGGCTGCAGCTGAAGCTGGAGTGGGGTTTTGGTCCTGGGATGGAGATGCAGCCACTAAAGGGTCTAGGCTTGGGGCTGAGGCTGAGGCTGGAGCTGGGGGAGGGGCCGAGGCTGAAGCTGAGACTGAGAGTAGTGTGGGCTTTTGGTTCTGGGATGGAGATGCAGCCACTAAAGGGTCTAAGCTTGGAGCTGAAGCCGGGGCCGAGACTGGAGCTGGGACAGGATCAGGAGCAGAGGCTGAAGCTGTGACTGAGACCAGCATGGGGTTTTGGTTTTGGGACGGAGATGGAGCCGCTAAAGGGTCGAGGCTTGGGACTGAGTCTGAGGCTGGAGGTGGAGCAGGGGCTGAGGCTGTGACTGAGACTGTGGCAGAGACCAGCTTGGAACTTTGGTCCTGGGATGGAGATGCAGCCACTAAAGGGTCTAGGCTTGGAGCCGAGGCTGAGGCTGGGGCTGGAGTTGTGGCCGAGGCTGGGGCTGAGACCAGAGTGGGGTTTTGGATTTGGAATGAAGACTCAACAACTAAAGGGTCTGGGCTTGGGGCTGAGGCTGGGGCAGGAGTTGTTGCAGAGGGTGGGGCTGCAGCCAGAATGGAGCTTTGGTCCTGGGATGGAGATGCAGCCTCTAAAGGGTCTAGGCTTGGGGCTGAGACCGAGGCTGGCTTAGGGTCTTGGACTTTTTCTACGGATGTAAATGATGATGATGATGAGGAGGAGCTAAGTAGAGAATCCAGCCCTGGTATTGAAGAGATCAGTCTAAGGAACTTGTTTGGTGCTGAGAGTGAGGACAATAATGACCTCAGATCTACTAATGAAAAAGATGCCAATTCTGAATCTGGGACTGGGGATAAGGACAGCACTAAAGATAAGTTTGATGCTGCTGATGGAGTTGACATCCGGTCTTGGTTCTGTACTGGTAATGAAAACAGATGTGAGGATGAATCTACATCTCAGGTGAAAGTCAAAAAGTCGACTGAACCAAGAGGCATATACCCATCCATGGTCCCTGGGGCAGGAATGGGTGTATGGGATGGAACCATAATTTGTTCAGAGAGCAAGTTGTTACACCAAACCAGCTTTCCAGGTGAAGATGGTTTCAGAAGGCAAGTCAATACTGGAGACAAGGTGCATTCCTGCAACTGCCGCTGTAAACGTGACGTCAATCTGGATCCGCAAGATCTTGAGAAGCTCATTTGCATGATTGAAATGACTGAAGATCCTTCTGTTCACGAAATAGCCACGAATGCTCTATATAACAGTGCTGATTATCCTTATCCCCAGGAAATTGATCGGAATATAGGTGGGATTTCAGTTATCCAAAGCTTATTGAGTAATCCCCACCCTACTGTCCGGCAGAAGGCTTTAAATGCATTGAATAACATCTCAGTTGCCGCTGAAAACCATAGAAAGGTTAAGACATATTTAAGTCAAGTGTGTGAAGATACTGTCACCTATCCCTTAAATTCAAATGTACAAGTGGCTGGACTAAGACTGATAAGACACCTGACGATTACTAGCGAGTATCAACATATGGTGACCAATTATATTTCAGAATTTCTCCGTTTGTTGGCTATGGGAAGTGGAGAAACTAAAGACCATGTTTTGGGAATGCTTGTGAATTTCTCTAAAAATCCATCCATGACAAAAGACTTGCTCATTGCCAATGCACCAACAGCACTGATTAACATTTTCAGCAAGAAAGAGACAAAAGAGAATATCCTTAATGCCCTTTTACTTTTTGAAAATATAAATCATCATTTTAAAAAGAGAGCAAAAACATATCCCCAAGACAGGTTCAGTAAAAGTTCCCTTTATTTCCTGTTTCAACGACCTAAAGCCTGTGCCAAGAAACTTAGAGCCTTAGCAGCAGATTGTAGTGACCCAGAGGTGAAAGAAAGGGTTGAGGTATTAATAAATAAACTCTGATTGGCTATCTGTTCCCCCCAAAGTTTGAGTAACATTTTGGTTTTACACCCTTGACATGATGTACATTGTAAATTGTATTAGAACTGTGAAACTAATGTTGCCTATGAGGGTCTATAGCTGAACAATTTTATGAACACCAAATGAATTCAAACTTGTTCTGGAAATACATGTGTCAATTTTTATCTTGTCTGGATTGAGATATTTTAGTATGCTTCATGAGCAGAAACCAAACTGATTCTTCATAAGTAAGGTAATCTTTGGTCCTTTGTGTGGACTTATGTTTATACATTTGAGACTTTATTTTTATGTCATCAATAAAGTTGTGTGTTTTAAGAAGCAAAAAAGAGATAATCGTCTTCATCCTTTTGGTTATGATTTGTTTAGAAAGATAAGATATGCGGAAACAAAATCATAAGTCTCCGGGTCACAGCTGCTTCCTGTCACTGCTTGGAGGAAGCAGAAAAGGCTGCACTATGTATCAGTGCCAGGGAATGCTTTATGGAAAGAGGGTATTTTTAAGCAAATTGTGCTTGAAGAATATGATACAAAATGTCAAAATGGCCATTTGAGGAGGGAGAATTGGTGGAAGAAAGACAAGGAAGTGGGGGATGATTCAGGACGTCCATAAGAGGAAACGGAAGAATGAGGAAGTTAGTGTGAGTTCTGTCTATGGAACACCTCTGATTGCTAGAGTGTCTGAATATTCTATTTATCCCTAGAAACAGCAAGGACTTTCACAATCAGAGGATGAAAGGAAAACATTGTGATTGATTTGTGTTCAGGATGAGTTCAAGTTGGAGTGAGGACAGGAATGGTGACTAGAGATAGGAAAACAAGCTGGAAAGCTACCATCAGAGCACACGTATGAGAAGATAAAACATCTGAAATGTCATTAGACAAATGTCATTCCTGTGGGGATCATAAAGACAGGGCAAAAGTGAGAATTCTCTCCTTTGTGACTTACTATGTAGTCAAGGCTGGACTTGAACTCCTGGCAATCCTCTAGCCTTAGTTTTCCAAGTGTAGGCCTGAGTCACTCCCTGTGCCTGGGATCAGAAACCCCTGTAATGAGTAAGTGCTCCAGCCTATTCTGGGGACATATAAAGAGGATCAGTTTTATTTTAAGGTTGTGGAGTCCATGGGAACATGTCCTCTTTCATAGCCAACTCTGGTATCTATATAGGTGTGTAAGAAAATTGTTTTGAATTAATAAGAAAATACAATTGAAAGAAAAATAAAATTTAGTGCTTTAACCAGGATTTCTTTACTAAGATTGGTTGGAGTGGATTTTCAAGGTACCATCAAGAATGGTGTTGAGATCCACAAGGGTGAAGAACCTTGTACCTTTACATGTGTGTGAGCATTCAGACTGCGTGGCTGGCAGCATACAGAGTAAGTTACTGAACATGTCCATCCTTATCTACTGACTTAGTTTCCTTATATTAAAAAGAAACTAGGAAAAGGAAATTAGTAAGAAAAAATAGTTATGTTTTCAGTTTTGCCTAGTTTGAGGGTGAAGGATATATATAGGATTCTTACAGTTTATAGAAAGCTGCAATATCTTTAAGCACAGAAAAAATACACATATTTACATGCACAAACACATAATTAGTCCTTTCCTCAGGTGACTGGGCCTGAGTTTGTCTCTGTCTGCTGTCACTGTTCTCAGCGAGCAGTCTCTATTTTCAGCACAGAGGAACACACACACCTCTCTTTAGAGCACTAGCCCATTCTCTCTTCACTTGGAGTCTTGGTTACAGGTACACGGTCCATTGGAACATTTCAAAGCTTTTAAGGTATGTATGTCTTTTCTTTCTTTTCCCCTTTTTATATTTCCTTTTATTTTGTGGTGTGTGTGTGTGTGTGTGTGTGTGTGTGTGTGTGTGTGTGTGTGTGTGTGTTTTGGTGGAAGGGGCTTGCCGTGGCACAAGGGACCTCTTGTAGGAGTTAGTTCTTTCCTTCCACCGTATGGGCTCTGGGGCTTGAACTCAGGTTGTCAGGCTTAGCAGCAAATGCCTTTAACCAATGAGCCATCTCACTAGCCCTATGTGTGCCCTTTCACCCAATAATGCTATTTGTAGAAATATATCTTTAGGAGCAAATAAAATAATCAGTTTGCAGTGAGTTGCCCACCTTCAATTTTTTTGAAGGGTGAAAAAGTATAAGGTTATTTAAAATAGACATCTACATTTATGGCAGAGAATTCGGCATGCAATCTTCAGTTGGAAAACATTGTAAAAGCATATATAATTTCTATGAAGAAAAAATGTGCATTTAAATGATCCGTAATGGATTCACTCAGTGATGTGCTTGCTGTGAAAGATGTGGGGACCTACCTGACTTTGTATCCCCAGTACTCACATAAAAAGCACTGTCAGAGCTTGCCTGTAATCCCTCTACTGAGGGCTCAGGAACAAGAGGATCCCTGGTGTTTGCTGCTCAACCAATCTAGACAATGAGCAGGCTCCACATTCAGTGAATGACAGTGTCTGAAAACAACAACAATAACCAAGGTGGAGGACTGGTGAGATGGCTTAGCTCTAAGAGCACTTGCTGTTCCTGCAAAGAACCTTACAGCATTTCTCAGCATCCATGTAGGGCAGTTCACAACCATCTGAAACCCCAGCTTCTGGCACCCATGGGAACCCACACACCTATGGTTTACATTCAGATATACACATGCACATGAATTTTAAGAAAGAAAATTAATCTTTAAAAAAGTAAACCGAGGGCTGGAGATATGGCTAAGAGGTTAAGAGCACTGGCTGCTCTTCCAAAGGTCCTGAGTTCAATTTCCAGCAACCATATGGTGGCTCACAACCATCTGTAATGAGATCTGGTGCCCTCTTCTGTATACATAATAAATAAATCTTTAAAAAGCATTAGAAAGTAAACCAAAAAGGAAGAGAACCAGTCCAATCGGAAGATACCCAAGTTGACCTCTGGCCTCATACCACACATGTGCACACACATATAAACATGTACAGACACAACAAAATGGCCTCTAAAACGAACTGTTATACATTATGAGAACATTTATATTTTATGGGTATTAGTTAGACTGATGGGAGATTTTTATCAGTTCTTCTAAAGATAAAAATATTTGCTTACCTTTTAAATTTATTTTTTGAGACAAGATCTCACGGTATAGACCTGGCTATCCTGGAACTCACTATGTAGACAAGGCTGGTCTTGAGCTCACAGAGATCCACCTACTTGCGCCTCTTGAGTGCTGGGATTAAAGACATTTGCCACCACAGCTTCCTTTATGTTTACATGTATGAGTGTTTACCTGCATGTATATATGCTCACCATGTGTATGTCTAATGCTCTTAGAAGTCAGAAAATGGTCTTGGATCCCCTAGAACTTGAGTTACAGATTGTTGTGAGCCACAATGTAGGTGCTAGGAATCAAACCAAAGTTCTCTGCAAGAGCAGCAACTACTCTTAACTGATGAGGCATCTCTCCAGCCCCATCTTTTCTATATAGTAAATAGAAGTTTCTTGGCTAGTTTAGCCCAAGATCAAATAATGTATTTCGGATGTCAGTCATTTTTGAAAGCCTTAGAGCAAAAGTTTAAATAAAGGTTTACATAACTTACGGGGTTAAATGGGCGCTCAAATAAAATTTCTATTCTCTTAAACTATTCTGTAAAATGAAAGTATTATTGCTTCATGTTCAATGGCATACACTTATTGTCCTAGATAGTCAGGGGGCGAATTAGAAAGGATGGTCAAAATAGTGAGACGACATCAAAACAAAACAAAATAGTCTTAAGAGTACTGTTTGAGAACCATAGATATTTCGTTGTTAATAGATGGTATGGTGGCCCACACCTTTAATGCTAGCACTCAGAAGCTGAAGCAGGAGGGTTTGAGGCCAGCCTGGTTTTCATAATAAGTACCATGCCAACCAGGCCTATGTAGAGAGACCCTGTCTAAAAAAAATGGTATCATATTGTAATGGATTCTACCACCTGCTTGCTGCCTGATCCCCCTACAGGAATAAATTGCTTATTTCATTTGTTAGGAGTGATATTATTAGATAGCTCTCAGCTGTCATCACACTTCCAGAAATGCATCAATTGAAGACAGCTATCTCCCCAAGATCATACCTTCTTCCTGGGGACATTTTGTGTCCAATAACTGATGGACATGGCTTGAGACAGCATATTAGCTCTCTCTGTCCATCCCTGCTTCCCTCTTTTCCCTTCAGTGCCTTTGTTTGCTCCCTGGAGAACAAACTTTCAAAAATCAATACAAGGAGCTGTTCAAGAAAGCAATCACTGGGATGAAATACTCTAAACAGATTTCTTGCTGACCAGTTGTCAATGTGAACCCCATCCCTGGTGGAAGGTTGCATAGGTACAAATATGGAATGAGATGGCACAAGAACAGCTAGAGAGAATTTGCTGATGACAGGGAAAGCATTGTCTGGAACCATATGTCAAAACTTGAAAAATGAGGCTGGAGGCACGACTCATTAAGAGCACTTGTTCTTACAGAGGATCTAAATTTGATTTTCAGCACCGATGTGGTAGTTTATAACTATCCGTAAGTCCCATTTCTGGGGATTCATTGCCCTCTTCTGACCTCTTTGGGCACCAGGCATGTGCAAGGCGCACATAAACCATTCAGACAAAACACTTAAACACATAAATAAAATCTATAAATCTAAAATAATTTAAATACTTTAACAAACATGGTATACATTTTATATATAGGGATGGTATTAAGTTTGATTGACATTTAACCTAAAAGCTGTATTCAAAAGTAAGAGAGCTTCCTTCACAAATTATATAGAGCTTTAATGTACAGGAAGAGAGATCCGAAGAGTACTCACAGGAATTATTGAAAAAAGTAAAGCTTCAAATAATGTTAAAATCATAATCAAATCTTCTATGTTAGATCTAAGCCCTGGTTAGAAAGAGATGCAACCATGTGACCCGTAAGATGAAACCCCTTGATGGTTGTCCATAAATATTTTGTATCTCCTACATCTCTCTGAATCCTTTAATTATTAAAAACTGTCTCACCTTTGACTATTGAAGGCTAAAACTCCACCTTTCTTGAAGATTCAAGCATGCCTTTAGTCTTTAAGATAATGTACATTGAACCTGGAATCTGCTCTGACTTCTCATCTTGATTACTGGTCCTGTAACTAGGTCTAAACCACAGTATTAAGATATCTGGGGTGTATTGAATGTAATAAGGAAAGGGAATATAGAAGTCAGTAGCTGAAAGATCTAAACAGCCATCAGCACCAGTAGGTACTGAGAGAGTATGGACAAAAAGTGAAATTTCACGAGCAGCGTTAGTGGGTCTAGAGTACAAAATGGAATAT